ATATCCCTACTACTCCTTCCGTCCTGGCTTATCTAACTTCCTAGATACCTAAAATCGACCACTTCTAATTTTTCGTCTATTAGTTGTTTCGATTTTTTGGTTTAATGTTTCCTAAGATTTAACTAAATAATGATTCACTTTAAAACATTAAATAAGTGCTTATTGAACGGAATCACTGCTGAATTTTATATTTTTGTGGAATTACCCCTTATACATTGTGTTTTGTTCGCAGGTCGACATAGGTGTAGTGGTTTATATAACAATAGGTGTATTTGGTGTATTAATAGCACTTATAATTGGAGCATTGGTAGGCATTTACGTATGGGTCAATTCCCTTTCGAGGCTTCTGAAGAAACAGGACGATGACGACCCTTATAAAAGTTATTTAAAGTAAATACACTTTGCATACCTCAAAGAATCAGTGATGCTTGATGTTTATGGTCCGAGGGGGGGAGGTCGAGTTTCAATACAATGTACATTTAAGAAGAATCTTTCTCTTTTACTCTTCAACCCTTTGATATTTCGCTGTAGGTTTGAGAGGTTTCGGAGAGCCTAGGAGAAAGGATGCATGTATAGTCAGTTGTTAACAGATGGCGTTTGAAAATTATTTGCTTTCTATACTGCATGATTAGGTACTGAATTGTTTTTGTCAGCGAGCAGTCACTGATTCTGTTACAATAAATAATTAATAAAATCAAATCATAATTGAAACTGTATGAGACGTGTTTATTGTACTTTTAAAAAACTATTAAAATGACTTTAAAACAGATTATTAAAGAACTTGTCGATAATGTTTCGACCAAGTCGATTTATAGTTGAGAATGGTCTACTTACAATTAATTCAAACAATACTGTCGAGTTCTTAATAAACTGCTTTCAAGTAATGAGCTTCGTTTATTCGTTCTTAAATACATTGAAATTATCCATATTACTTTGTTTTGTTTTTTGTTCCTCTAGGAAATATCCGAGCATCCCTCGGATGAATCCAGTACCTGGTGAAGAATTATCCAAACGATACGTTATGTCTACCGGAAATACAGATTATGATTCACTTCCTTCTCAAAAGTTTTCCAGGAACCCACTGACCAGCAGATCTATGATGGAAAGAAGAATGTCTCCGTCAGTAATCGGGGAACTGAACAACAGGATTTCCAGGGAACAAGGACCTGGTGCCAAATCTAACGGATTTTATGCAGGGTATGTACCTGATTAAATATTTTGTATAAAAAGAACGAATGTTAAAAAATAATGAAAAATATTCTGAAACAATTTACTCGCTTAAGAATGATAGGAGAATTTTTCGGGCTTAAGAGTCGTGATCGTTGCAAATCAATGCTTGGTCTCTATTGGTCTTGGTCTTCAGACCAGAGTGTTCTTCCTAAAACTTAAAATCCTAAATGTTGGTTAATAGATAGTTCTTCCCCAAAAGTATAGAACTGAACAGAAAAACAAGCAATCTGGAAATAAGGTTCTTTTTTATTAAATTATACAATCAACACAAAATTATTTGCTTTCGGGTTGTTGCTTGTTTTTTTTTCAGTTAAAATCCAAAAAAAGACCACAGTCAATAATAAATCAGAATTCTTCAAGACACAAGCCGTAAAAACTTACATTTAAGTGTAAGACCCAAAGAAATTATTGCACTGTGTCATACTCATATTTTTTTAATATCCCAATAACGTAAAAATGTAAATCCCTGCCTATAATTATCTATCGATAAATGTCGAATTTATCAATTTTTATTTTTCTCTGAAGTTTTTATCAAATAATTCCACTGATTAGATTTTATCGAGCAAATAGAAAGATAATAGTGAGAATTCCAATATTTTTGTAAAAGATCTATACCGTTTCTGTCTTAATTTTTACTGTACAATTATAGATATTTCTGTTCATATAAATTCTTCAAAATAACGATTTTCAAATAAAAATTGTAATTTTGCAACTGTAATTCCTTCTTTAGTTTTAAAAAATTAAGTAATTTAAACTTTAGAAGAATTAGAAAGTAATAGATATCTCCTGTAAAAACTACTGTAATGACTAATTTTTCTACCCTGGGGACTATTTTGTTTTTTTTTTATTTCAGAGATAATATTGACTCTTTCAGTAAACCTGGTAAACAAGATGTAGTTTATTATGGAGGTGGGGCAGTGAAAGACAGGCCAAATATGGCGTACTGAGAATGTTATTTTTCCGTGTTTGTTTTGTTAATTACCCAATTTATATCGTACGTACCATTACTGATACTGTCTCGTTGCGAAATTTTATTAAAAAGCCATAGCAGACTTTTTATTTACTTAATACTTGTAACTTATAAGTAATACAAAATATGCAATATTAGATAATAACCGTAGTTTTTTCGGTTTTTTTTTTGATGTTCGTAATGCTTTAATTTTTGAACACTTTACTATCATGCATCACGCTTGACGTAGACAGTCATGTATTTTGTTGATAAGTTTTTAGTTGTCTATGTATGTATGTAATTAACTAGATATTTAATAGGATGATACGTAGGACACCCTGTATATATGATATTTTATCCCGGATTTCCAATGTTCCAAAGTTGGCCAAAGAAATTTACAAAGATATTTTTATACATAATTGTAATTTGTTATACTATTATCAATATTGTTAATAAAATATGCATTCTTTGTTGTTGCAAATTATTATTAGGAAGTAGTATAGTTCTGCTACAGGTTTTCTTAATTAAGAAATTAACGCTGTTCCTTAAAACATTAGTAAAAAGTAACAAAATAATAATTCAATGTTGCTACAAAACAATGCAAACAATTAGCTAGAACAAAAATCCTTTACTTTTTATTTTAATTGTAATTCCTAACGTATTTTTCTTTTATTAATTTCTAACAGGTGCTCACTATTTATTTTTCTTCTTACTATCTTTAATGTTTTTGAGGTTCTTATAATTCTGTTTCCATTAATTTCTAATAATGTGAATATATTTTCCTTAACGTACACAGACGTTTTTGGAAATAATATGAAAAAATTTTCTTTACGTAAACTGCTTTAAAATGAAAGAAGGTGAAGACAAGGTCATTAAACAGATCACATCTTGTTTTTAAATGTGTATCTATTGGGAATTTAGTTGTTTACGAGAATTTTTAGTAATAACACGGACATTTCTTTATTGTGAGTGAATTATGCGGATAACATCTTTTTAATACTTTTAATTAGAACAGAAGTGAAGAAAAGTGCAAGTGAATTTGTGCCAATAGGATATGTATAAGGGATTGAAGAGATATTTTCTTCTCGGACAATAACAGTAAGTTTTTTGATATGTATTTTGTTTAATTAAGTACGCTAATGATTATTGAAGTCGATGTAATTAATAACACAGTCAGTGAATTATTTAGATGCAGTTACAATAACGCGTCCTTTAATGATTTTCTTTAATTATTATACGAATAAGATGCAGGTAGTTCACAAATGATTAGGTATTACATCTTTTTATGCGATGATAATTTTACTGAAAGAAGAAAAATTGGAAATGCATATATATTTAAATGTACCTATTAGAAATTACTCCAATCTACCCTGTTGAAATAAACCGAGTACGAAGCATTAGGAAGTTATAATAATGGTTGTGTTTTACTAATTGTAATAAGAAATTGTAGAAAATTGCTTTCGACAGAATAAATTGTCAAAGATCAAACAGAAAAGAAATTTAATTCATTGTAAGGTCAGCATTTTTAATTGATTCATAAGTTATTTTGTATTTTTGATGTTGACCAGTTCTTCCCCTCTAATAGTTAGTAAAAGAAGGAATAATAAGGGTTGTAGAACCAGTTTATTACGAAAACTATTTACCGATGTTTCGCCCCTTGTGCGAAATTTTTGTAGATATAGTTTTCTTAGTTCGGTGATAGTTGTTATCAGCGAAAGTAATAGAAAAGAAATAACACACTTCCCTGTTGGTAATCAACTAAGAGTGCCTGATTCAGGGATATAATCCAGACCAAATCAGGACCTTAATTAGCCAGATTAGAAAATTATTTAGGTTTGCCTATAGGCTTCGGATTTAATCAGGACCTAAAAAAACCAAATTTTAGTGAAAATCAAAATTAAAATTTCTAATGAGGTCCTTATGAAAAATAAATCTCGCACCTATTATCGTAAAACCAAGAAAATTTTTAGTCGGGTTTGTGGGCTGCTACCCTAGACAAAAATTTTCAGTCTCTCTCCAGTCACTCAGTCTTTCAGCGTCTCTAAGAGCGTCTCTCATAGTCTTTCACAGTCTCTCAGTTATTGCCTAGATGTTTTTATGGANAGAGATTCGAGTCTCTCGTTCAGAGATTCGAGTCTCTCGTTCAGAGATTCGAGTCTCTGGTTTAGAGACTGGATACAAAATGAGGACCTCTCTATGAGCGACTTAAACAGTTTCTTCGACAGTCTCTCTGCGACACCAGAGAGACTCGATGAGAGACCGAGACTCGGGTACTAATTGAGCAATTTTCACGAATGGAATATTTTCCACCATCGAATGGAAATCGCTTTAGGGTATGCCTAATTATAAGCCAAGAAATTTTTTTTTCGGATTTGTGGGCTGCTACTGATTGAACAATTTTCACGAATGAAACATTTTCCATCATCGAATGGAAATCGCCACATGTTAATATTTGAATAACGTAAATGTTCGTCCGTATAGGTATACGTGTGCTAGGTACACTAGACAATGAGTATTGGATAGATTTGCATATCGTGATCTCTGTTATTACATCGGTTTGTTTTGGGGCCGTTTGACATTGAAAAGAACGGTTTTCCGCGTGCAGTGATTCCCACCGGCGGGTGGCTCACCCTTTTGCGTCGTTTCCACGGTAACGGCACACTTGTACGCCCGACTCATCTGATATGTTTGTCTAAAGATTTTATACCAATTACATTCCAGTTTGCCAAAGCGCTTTTTTTTAACGTTGAAGGGCTCTCGCCAAAGCGGAAAGTGTACTATTTAAGAGGACTTGTCTAAAATTTCGCGCGAAACCTTAAAAGGGGATTTATATTCATTCTCCTGAAAACAAGAGGACTTTTGTTCATGAGAACGATGGCAGTTTCATGAGGAAATCGATTTCGTTTTGTTTATTTATAATGTACAGGGTGTACTTGTCGGTAGTAATTAAAATAAATGTTTGAAATATTCGCATATTCAAATGACCAAATATTTAAATAATAATATTCAAAATTTCAAATGTCTGGATATCCAAATAGCTGAATACTCACACCTATTTAATTGTGACGTATGATTTGGATCTCCAAAACTGTATAATGAGCAGTTGGGAAATTTCACTGAGAAAGTGTTTGGTATTGTTTATTCATATAGATATTAGAAAAATCATTGATCTGCTAAGATCGTTACAAGGAAGCTTTTGATTTAGTCGTCACAGTCGAATATCATAAAAAAAAATAAAAACCACCATTTTACGAATGTAACATTTAAATAAAGCACAGAAACCCAAAACTACAAATAAGTGAATTTAAAAACAAATACATACAATTATTTTTGGTTTTAGTTTTAGTGTCCTATTTAGTTTGGTCCACATAACTCAAATTGAGGTTCTACCAACAAAAT